TTGTGTGCTAAGAGAAATTATAAAAAATAAATCTCCCATATAAGAACTTGAATAATTTAACTAGTTTCTTGCTTAAAATATCTTTTAAAAATCACATATGAACATCAATTTTAGGACTTAAAACACAACTTTTATAAAAATTATTTATTTATTTTTTTAGTATTTTTATTGTTGACAGTATTATAGATGTCTCCCATTCCCTCCTTTACCCCCCAAAACACAACTTTTTAAGACTGAAAATAAATCATACATTCTTGGGTCTTAATTTAAATAATAAAAATGAGCCACATCAAAATATTCATCATTATTTTAGAAATGGTAGTTCAAGTATTTAACCTTTGAAAAATTATTACACTTAGTGTTAGGAATAATAATTATTAATACAGTTTAAGAAATTTTACATCTCTTCCAAACTGAAAACAGAAAATGCTTTTATAACTAGAGCCTTCTAAATGTTTTTTCCCTTTACTCTACATTAAAGTTCATTTCTTTCAAAATAATTATTGGGGAAGTATTTTGTTTTTAGACCAATAGACTACATACTTTTAAATTTAAAATAAATAACATTTCAAGTTGATCTTTTTTAGCTTAAAGCATATCCTAACTATTTTTAAGGAATCCAATGGAACCAATTTATTAATAAATCAGACACATGAAAAATAAAATCTCCAGTCACTTTTATGTCACCATGGTTTGAACAATTGGGGTTGTCAATGAGCATTATATGTAAAATCTTAAGACTAAAGTATGCTCCACAGAACACACAAAGATTTATGTCATCTGTTCCCATAACAGTATAAAATTCTATAATCACTTGAAATCTCAATGATACAAAACAGCCCTTATAACACACTGATGTATAAATTTTATGTCCATAAATACTTCTCTATGCAAATTGGTTCACATTGTATCTTAACAAAAAAATTGTTTATGTTTCATATTATATGCCATATTGTTTTACTGCCTAGTTAATAGATAATTGAAGAATAAAATGATATCAAATTCTATAATCACTTGAAATCTCAATGATACAAAACAGCCCTTATAACACACTGATGTATAAATTTTATGTCCATAAATACTTCTCTATGCAAATTGGTTCACATTGTATCTTAACAAAAAAATTGTTTATGTTTCATATTATATGCCATATTGTTTTACTGCCTAGTTAATAGATAACTGAAGAATAAAATGATATTTATAACCCAACTACTGTTTATCTTTCTTTCAAATTCTAAATATATTTTCTTGTTATTTACTAGATATAAATGTGTGACTTCATGTTTCAGAGTATGTCAAAAGTTACCCATATAGTTAAAGTCTCAAAAATATTATCTTTTGTTGGTATCTCTGGATGACTATAATTTGTTTAAGCTATCACTATATGTCATAGATTTAATTCATTTTCATATTTTTTTACTATTACAAAAATGTTTCAGTGGACATTCTGATGCCTTTCTCCACTTATTTCCATTGGATAAACTTTCAGAAGTAGAACAACCTGATAAGAGGACATGAACACTTCTCAGGTCTCTGATAGATAATGTCAAATTGCCTTCCAAAGCAGACATATCAATTTCCAATTTTCTCCAGTACTCTATAGAATATCCTATTTTCCTATATTCTCAGCATTAAACATACAATTTTCTTAATCTGTGTAATTTTCATAGTTTTAATCGCATTTACTTCATTGCTAATGTGTCAAACATTTCATACCTTTATTGGATTTTTATAAATCTTTTATGAATAGGCTTTTCAAGACCTGTGTCCATCTTTCTATTGGCTTGTTTCGGTACAGTAATGAACTTATGATCTATGACATTTCACAGAGGAAAAATTACCGAGAATGTCATAGAAAATAAATTGCAGGTTATACCCTGTATATGATTGTATCATGTGGCACAGAAATGTATCTGCCAAGAATCCAAAAGACAAGAAGCATGAGAGGAGCACATGGGATAAGTTGCTGTCCACACTCCCTTGTCCACCCCTGGCATACCTTCCCCACCCACTGAGATTTCTTGTCATTAGCTGTTGTGGAAATAGAACAGATTGAGTGAGTTGTGAATCAAGATCCTCTCACAAAATAATTGTACAAAAAGCACTGCAACAGAGGGTAGCATATCAGTTGCCATGAAGATAAGAATGCTTTATGCAGGCAAAGGCCTTTGAACAGCTGAAGACAGAAGCCTCTTGATACACACTCAATACAGTGATCTACTTTATCATTCATTCAAACAGATTTTCCCCTTCATCAGGGCATCTTTTCATTTTATTTGCTATTCAAAACACTGTGACACAAAGGATGCTCTTCATCTTGTGTGCTACTGAAATGAAATCTTGAGGTAGAAAAAAGGAAAAAAATCCTTGCCCTAAATTCCCTTTCAAAAGTGAAGTGTGAAAAGACATCAAGCAGAGTACACAGTGTTATTGTTGCAGGAAAGTCAATTCTGCAAGTACAGAGTCCAAGGCCATCAGCAGAGGCCCGATCACTTCCTCACCTACAGTGATAATAAAAATGCAAGGAGAAAGGGTTCCACTTGGGGAAATGGAATTTCTCATTGCCCTTCCTCTTGATTATCTTTAACATCTATGGGCACAGCTGTTTCCTTTCTCTGAGTAATCCGAAAGTCAATGCTGTATTATTGGCTCCCTTCTTTTAGCTCCCCAGGCCTATTATATATCACCTCATGTCCTATTCTGAGCAGCAGAAAGCTCAAATTTATCTTTTCAAACTAGAATGCCTATTTGCTTTAATTTGCTACTTAAACAATTAAAAATTATTTTTAAATTTTATAGCTTGAAAACTTGGTCTTATTAAATTTCCATGGATATATTAATGCATTTTAATTGCAAGGTATAAACTAAGTTATAATATAGAAGGTAATAAAAATCAAAGATATTTTAGCAAAATACTTGACAGTTATTATATTTAAATTCTCATGGACTTTCTTTTTATAAGGTTTTTTTGTTGTTGTTGTTTTTCCAACAGGGTGAAGAACTAGACCATCTCAAAATTCTTCTTGACTTGATTGTATATGCTGCAGAATACTTATTTATATACTACAACCATTATTACATATGTTTCTTTAGGCTTGACTGTTTCAAGATAAAATATATTAGTCATTATCTGAATGGGGTTTTAAAAAGCCATCAAGGTAAATAATATGCATTCAATTCTCATTAGGTACTTGGGCACTGGTGATATATATACTCCAGAGAAAATTTATTACAAGATTGAATCTTCTTCAATTCCAACTAAAAGTTTTATTAGTTTAACTAACAAAAAAGTTTTATTAGTTTAACTAATTCGTGGACAATGAAAAAATTGAGACAAGATCACATTTACATTCATAGTTAGTAATCCACTTGGCCTATAGTTGGCCACTGAAAAAGGCTTCTTTAATGAAAATCTGTACAATGAATAAATTAATAATAAAGCAGTTTCCCTCTGTGTCAGTTGTTGGTAATGTAGGGGCACTCCAGAATTTTAAATCATGATGTTATTTGTCCACACTTGATTATGTAGCTGTATAAAGGGTTGGGCAAAGTAGGTTTACAGTTGTGAGTACATGAAACTGAGTTTATTCTTCTATTGCTGTTTATTCATTACTGCATTATTTTCCATACAAACAATTGTAGACTTACTTTTGCCCCACACTAGATCTTTCAAGAATATTTTTTCACAAATAATTCTTCCACACTCCTTTCTTGGAATCCTCCACTCACAGAGTTTCCCTGTCAACCTAAAAGTTAAAATCTATCTGTAAAATTAATATTGGACTGAAGAAGAGGTTCATACGTACACAGACATCCCCCCACCAAATTTGTTTTACTTTAATGTGAGGAAATGGTAAGAACAGTCAAAGCCCATTCATATAATGAACATTCAAGGAGCACACATAGTATGCTATTGTGCAATTACTCTGATTGTTTTTTCTTTCAAGTATAAAATGTTCTCCTAGTCTAAATTAATGTGTTTTTCTTCTCTGCTGAGATAATCCTCAGAAATTTGATGATAACCTTTTCTATATCACATCAATTCCGCTTAGTACAAATACAAATTTCCTTGAGGACAAAAAATGAAGATTGTAGCTGTTGCCATCAATTTCCTAGGTTCAACAGGAGAATATTGCTTTGTGAGCCCTGGGGGCTGGGATAGTCTGACTGCTTGGAAGGCAATTTGTATACTTGTTCTCTCTGAAGGATGCTCAGCTTACTTTGATGTTAATATTTGGTATTATGTGATTTTTGTGAATTGATTTTTTAAAGCTTCAGGCAAAAGAACGAAAGCTTGTCCCCCTCTACATGTCTCCTTTCTTCACTCAGTTCTATTTCATGAGTAATGCTGAAACACCAAAAACTGTATGTCTTGTCCAGAGGAAATGCAAAAGCTCATTCTATGGCCTGGAAGTGGATTTGGCAAAATTCAATCATAAAACAAAACAAGACCAAAAAACCCCACAATAATCTGGGTAGGTCTGGGCACTAAGATATCTGTCTTTTATTTCAGCATCTTTAATCCAATCTCCTACTTGCTTGGCTGATTTTTAACTCACCAAATTAAATAAATAAATGAACAAACTCCAGTTTCACAAAGAGAACTTACGGGAAATGATGTTTTCGTAGCTTTAGAGAAGCAAAAAGACAATTGTGCTCCCATGGCTAGAACATACATAGCTACTTCCTTTCTAGTGCAGGTTAGAGCCTGGTGGGAAAATTGGACCCTGCCTTTTTCAAATATCCCCCAATTTTGCACTGTATTTACTTGATCTTATTTTGACAGTAATTGTGCTATTTATGTTCCTATCCTTTATGCCCAAGAGAATAAATAGTAAGAGGACATGCATTTTACTACCTTCAAAAACTCATTTACACCAAACTACGACTTTTTTTAAAGTTCATCTGTGAAATGACATCATACAAAAAAGTTAGTTTTGGTAGTTATACTGACAAATACAATGCTTTTAATCAGTTAAAATTCTGAAGAAAATACATACCCAAACCTTCCGATTCAAATAGACATGTTTCATCTACCCCTAAATCTCGGCACCAGGATAAGAAATTTGCTGTATTGTCTCTGGCGAAAAAGGAGCCTGAGGGTGCACTGGCTTTGCATGGAATCTTCTTCATGGGCAGATTCTGAAAAACAAAGAAATCTCACTCTGAAGGAATTCTGGAAAAGTCATCACAGTGACACATTAAATACACATTTATGTTTTCAACAAAATGCTTTGGGATGACCTCATGTCAATAAATAGGTTAGTAAAGAACTAGAGAAAGGAAGTGAAATGTATATGGAACTTAGCTGGCATTAAGAGACTATAAAAATCTGTGCCTGTACACATGCTTTTTAGTATCTAATGGTAAATATACATAAGTCCCTACCCTGGCTCAAATGACCTCTTTCCTTTCTCTTATATTATTTTTGGCCTTCTCTTCCATCAGTATGTCTCACAAAGTATTTATAAATGTATTTCTCATTTGTGAAAGAAGAATGAAATACAAATATAGTATATGAATATATATAACACATACCTGCATTCTTAGGTGCATATGTACACACACTAGAAAAATTACACAAGAACTATACAGTTAAAAAGAGAGCAGTGGAATTATTTAACACACAAGTCTTCATCACCCTCATCATAAAAATTAATATGAAAAATCTTTTAACAATAACACTCTAACATCTTTCTTCTAGACTGTTTCCTTTTAAACTATAGGGTATTGTTATATCATTCTGGTTGGATTTCTGCTACCTGATCTTGAAACATATTATTTACATTCCACACCATTTTTCTTCTGGGATAAAAAAAATGCTTAAAATAAGGGAGGTGTGAACCTCTACAAACTTTTCTATTAACAGTTTCTCATAATTTTAAACAGGAAATCTCTCTTGGTACCATACCAAGTGTTATAAAGAGTTGAGTGGGGTTTTTTCTTAAATAGAATATAACCAGTTTCCATGGCATAGCATGAAGTCATACAGTGAGACTCTAAGGAAAAGACAGAACTATGAATTTGTATGATCTGGGCTATATAGAGCTTTAGCTCCAAGAGAAAAAAGATCAAGGGAGAAGGACTTTGTGATTTAGATTCATAGATAGGATGTTTCCTCTATGCACTGTCAACCAGCAAATATAACCAAAATGTGGTTGATTGTTGAGTCCATATACAAGGATGGATTTAAAAAATATAACAATGGCCCATGAGTGGACTGGTGAAGTCCTGCTAACATCAAACTACTACTAGACTTCTTCATGAGCAAGGATTTTTATGGCTAGACAACTAGAACACTCAGTTACTATATCAGTTAAAGGCTGTGTCACTACATCTCTTTGTTGATGACTGAATTTGACTTAGGGTAGACATAATTAAAATTTTTGCATGAATATATACATATATATAGATTAGGTACTATAGATATGTATATAAATGAAAAATGGGATTACTATATAGCAATACCCCTTAACCACTTTGGTTAAGTAATAGTTTTCAGAGAAATACTTTCCTATATGAATAGTAAAAACAAACAGATATAGAACAGCATAATATATTCTTTATAAGATATTCACAAACACCAATTAGTCAGTACTTATTAAAATTAAAATACATATATTCTTAAATCTAACAATTCACTTTTATGAATATAGCCTACAGATATAATAGCATTACTACTTAAAGATATATGTATGTATGTTGCAACAGTGACTGAACAAAAAAATAACCTGAAATAAGAATATGTCAAGAGAGGGCTGGTGGAATAAAATATAATATAAAAATTCAATGGAACTCTATGTATCATTAAAAAGACCAAGATAAACATACATGTATTGAACCATAAGATGTTCATTATATACTCTTAAGCAAAAACAACAATTTGCAAAAACATACACACATACATATATATTATTATTATTATTTCATCATCATTATTATTATACACACACTGGCATATGTATGTGCATATATATGTATATATATGATGCAAATGGACATATAAAAAGTTAAGTTGCATATAAATGTGTTGTATTATAAGTGCGAATACTGTATTTCCTTATATAAAGTTAACTTAGGAAAAACTCAAGGAGGACATGCATCCAAACAATAGAAATTATATTTGAGGAAAGTGATTGATGCATAGAGGATCATTTACTTCTTATTTACATAATTTCAAAATATGTTATAGGATTTTGAGTGATTTTTTCAATATTTTCAGATTAAGTAGTCAAAATAAGTAACTTATGTCAGCCAAAACATTTTTAAAAATTGTATTTGCCCTAGCTAGTTTGGCTCAGTGGATAGAACAGCGGCCTGCAGACTGAAGGGTCCTGAATTTGATTCCAGTCAAAGGCACATGCCTATGTTGTGGGCTCATTCCCCACTGGGGGGCGTGCAGGGGCAGCCGATCAATGATTCTCTCCCATCATTGGTGTTTCTACCTCTCTCTCCCTCTCTTTTCCTCTCTGAAATCAATAGAAACATATTAAAATTGTATTTGCTGAAACAAAATTTCCAAGAGGTGACTATAAACCTTTCATAAGGTGAATACTGGTAAGGCAAAGATCATCTTTTAAGAACATAAATAAATCCAAACACTGAGCCACTTTAAGATCTACCATCTCTTTCCCTTGGGTGGGGAAAAAATAACTTGTGAAACCATTTCAAAGGGATAAATGAATTTGAATACAGGGCCTATAACCCAAGACTGTAAAATATTTGACATAGCTAAAGGCATGCTAAAGAACATGAGGAGCATGATTTGTATGGCATAAAGGCAAACAATATCCATAGTGCATGAAGGAAGCTAGAGATTGATTTGATACTTAATCCACCAAGGAACACATTTTGAGAGAATACCCACCAGCAACAAGCCCCCAAATTGTTCAGCCAACTCTTTAAGAACTTACAAGGACAAGCATTGAGCATATAAATAAAAATAGCATTTTTTTTCCTACCTATAAGCCTGTGGTCCTTGCAAAGTCATCTACATATCATATACCAGAACATAAGCATTTATTTAAAATTCATTCATATTGAAAGACATGAAAGTTATTTTAGGACAGATAAATTAAAGCTAGCTACTGATACTTCATAACTTGGGAATTTTCAGTGTAAAGAAATTCATCGGTAATACTGATTTAACAACCTGGACTTTATGTGATTGATGGAGTATTTGTTTCTGTTATGGAGCTGTTAAAGTCAGTGCTTCCATGTCAGCTGAAGACTAGAAACTGTAAACAGTGTGAAAGGAAGCTTCCAATCTTCACCCAGATGAAATTTTTTATTGCTATAAATTGTTTAAAGTCATCTTCATTAGTCCAAATGACTAGTGAACCCTTATATACATTACAGTACCATCACACACACTAGGAGAAAGGATCTTTACTCATTGGCTGAGAGCAGTAGTACATAGCTTGTAAGATCCAAAATTCTTCCTGCCTGCACGTCAACCAAAAAGCAAAGGGTCAAGGGTCTTCCCAGGGTTGACGTGCCATTTATAATTAAGAGTCTATGGGAAGAAGTCTAATTTCATTTGAATTAAAGATCAAATGATTCAATAATACCAGCACTCAATACTTTTGTGACTTAAGAATATTTTGACACATTTTACACAAAAATTGTTATAAAGTTCTGAAAAACTTAACATTTATATATCTTCAATCTCTATGATTTTTTAATTTGTTAATTTTTCTAGGTTCTCATGAAAATTCTGGGAAAAAGCCAGCTCTGCCGGAATCTCTTCTTTAATATCAGTAAATAAAAGAAAAACAGAAATATTGAATAAAATCAACTTTCCCCTTTCCAAGGAAATCTTAAAGAGTAGGTTTAGAATAGAGAATGGCCCTGAGTAGTTAAGGAAGTACTAGAGGCCTGGTGAACAAAAATGTGTGCACTCGGGGTAGGGGTCCCTCAGCTCAGCCTGCGCCCTCTCACAGTCTGGGACGCCTCGGGGGATGTCCACCTGCTGGCTTAGGCCCACTCCCTGGGGGATCAGGCATAAGCTGGCAGTCAGACATCCCTCTGGCAGCCCAGGAGCTCCACTTGCCAGTGAGGAGCAGGCCTAAGCTGCAGTCAGACATCCTTAGTGCTGCTGAGGCAGGAGAGGCTCCCACCACCACTGCTGTACTGGCAGCCATCAGCCTGGCTTGTGGCTGAGCAGAGCTCCCCCTGTGGGAGCGCACTGACCACCAGGGGGCAGCTCCTGCATTGAGCATCTGCCCCCTGGTGGTCAGTGTGTGTCATAGTGACCAGTCATTCCCAGTTGTTCTGCTGTTAGGGTCAATTTGATATTACCCTTTTATTATATAGGATAGAGGCCTGGTGCACGGGTGGGGGCCGGCTGGTTTGTCCTGAAGGGTGTCTCGGATCAGGGTGGGGGTCCCGCTGGGGTACCTGGCCAGCCTGGGTGAGGGGATGATAGCCGTTTTCAAGTTGGCCATGCCCCCCAGCGACCCAAGATCCCAGCCTCTCCTTTTTTTATTTTTTTTATTTTTTATTTTTCAGGGCCTCCTTGAGCGGAGGCCAGGGCGGGCTGGAGCAGGTATCCTGAGATTTATTTATCTTCTATAATTGAAACTTTGTAGGCTTGAGCGGAGCCCAGGGCCGGCCAGGGCAGGCAGGAAGCTTGGCTTCCTCCATCGCCGGGGGCAACCCAAGCCTCCTGCTCGCTCCAGCTCCGTGGCCGCCGCCATCTTAGTTGGGTTAATTTGCATTATTTGCTCCTGATTGGCTGGTGTGCGTGGCTTGTGGGTGTAGCAGAGTGGCGGAGTGATCGTTAATTTGCATGTTTCTCTTTTATTAGTGTAGATATACTTGAATAGCTGAAAACTAATCACAGATAGGGAGAGAAATTCTTCAGATCTACAGAAGCTCTACACATAGCTTATTTGATATATCTTCCCTTTACCACTCAACTCTCCAAAGAACTCCTTTAAATTATATAATGTCCTTAATTATTTACTCATGTTAGCTTTTCCAGGCAATGCTGTTATATATTACTAGAGACCTAGTGCATGCATTTGTGCACCACTGGGTTCCCTCAGCCTGGCCTGTGCCCTCTCACAATCCAGGACCCCTTGAGGGATGTCGGAGAGCCAGTTTCAGCCCAATCCCAGCAGGCCAGGCCGAGGGA